TGCTGCGGGAGACCAAGGACAAGGAGCTGCACCAGGACATGGAGATCCTCAGCCAGACCTTCTCCCGGGTGATGGACTGCAAGGACAACGTCATCAAGGCGAGCTTAGGGCTGGCAGGGTAGGGATGGTGTCAGGGTTCACCTGTGACCCCCCCAAAAAATCTCTGCAGTCCTTGGTCAGAGACCTGGAGGAGGCGGAGGAGCAGCACGGCCGGGCTCTGCGCAGTCACCTGCACAACACGGACCGGCTGCTCCAGCTCCAGCGCTGCCGCCTGAGGTGCCTGGAGGAGGGGTACAGCGCCCAGCTCCAGGCTCTGGTGACTGAATTTGAAGCTGAAAGGTACAAAGCAAGAGATGGATAGTGACATTTGTTGGCTGTCTTGGTTCTGAGCCCTCAGAATCCTTGGAACTGCTGTGGATTCCTTCTGTGAGCAGCTTGTTTTCCTCAGGAGGATCATCCTGGAGCAACACGAGCGAGAAAGCTGCTACCTGCAACACGTGGCGTTGGCCATGGAGCAAAATTACACTGAGAAGGACCATGAGGCCACATTGAATTTCCAGAGTGCTTGGAATGACATCAGAAACAAGGTATGGATGGGGAGGAACCGGTGAAGGAGCCTTTCAGAGCTTGTGAGCAGAGCACACAGGGAGGTGATGGGTCACCCACACTCATCTCTGTCCCCAGAGCATGCTGGAGGAGCAGTACAGCCGCATGGAGCTGGGTGGGAAGGTGGAGATGCTCTGGAGACAGTTCCAACGGGCCATACAGAGCTACTCAGAGGCCACCGAGCACCAGAAGATCACTTACGAGGCGCTGAAGCAGAAGGACAAGAAGAGCTCCAGGGAAATAGAGACACAGGCAAAGAGGCTGCAAAAGCTCCAGGTCTTGGCAGGGCACATGGGTGACCCTGAGAGTTGGTGACACCGTGTCCTGCTGCTCACATTTTGCTTGTCCCCAGGATTTGATCACAGCCACCAAGGGCCGGATGGCAGCTCACCTCCGGGTGGGTGAGGAGCAGAACCGGCGCACGCGGGAGGAGAAGGAAAAGGTCCTGAGGCAGCTCCAGGAGCTCAAGAGTGAGATGAACCAGGCCAGGGCGAAGGCCCACAGCAGCCTGGTCAGGCTCACGGTGCAGAGTGGTGCTGCCCTGAAGGTGCTGAGGCGGGTGGTGAAGAAGGTGAGACC